TTACGAAATTTGCTGCATGCAGCTGGCTTCGGCCTTACCGAGGGGCCCCTTCCTCGATACATAGCCGCTTCCGGCGCCGGGAGGCGCGGGGAAAATCAGCTACGTGAGCTGATGCTCAACCTTCCCCTTTGCTATCCCCCCCTTTCGCCCGACTCGAAAAGGGGGGCGGAAGGATCGATGGGCTCGGGGAGGACGGGGTTCGAGGACCGGGACCGAGATTCGAGATGCTGTCGGGGCTCGAGACACGGGGGTCAGTGCAAACGGGGGTCCGTCAGAGCGCCAGATCCTGCAGGATCTTGCGGGGCCAGGGTCGCATTGACCCGGGTTTGGGTGCAGGGTCCTGCAGGATCTTTCAGGGCCCGGCTGACCCGGGTCTGGATTGACCCGGGTCAGCAGATCCCCGATGTTGGGAGCGAGGTTCCAGAATCGGAGGTCGAGATTCGAGGATCGAGGGCCAGGGCTCGAAAAGCGAGGATCGAGAATCGAGGACCCAGGTTCCAGGATCGGAGGCCGAGGCTCGAGGATCGAGGTCCGAGGATCAGGAGACGGGGGAATTGAGGATCGAGGCTCGAGGTTCTCAAGGTTTTTGAACGTTTTTTCGGCGGCGAGCGAGAGGGGAAAGAAGAAGAGCAAGGCCTTCTCAGAAGGCGGCGGGACTTCTCAGAAGCCCTCGCGCCTTCTGACGAGGTTTGTTGGTCTTTGGGGAAGGCTTAGAAAACTTCTCAGAAGGCCGGGGGACTTCCGAACCTTCTGAGAAGGCCTTCTCCCTCTCAGTTCCCCCCCTCGAGCGCCGCCGTTTTTTTGGAAGTTTGTAGGCCCTCGGGGTGCCTCCGAGGATCTCAGCGGAGGCTTCCCGGGACCTGCGGGGATCTTGTGACCCCTGGAAATTTGTGGAGGCGTCTGGGAACCCAGACCCTTGGCGCCGCCGAAAAGGTCGCTGCAGAGGACCGATCGGTACCGACCTGGAGGACCGAAGTGGGAAGGAAGGGAGCGGGGACGAAAACCGACAGCAACTCTTGTTCACGTGAGTAGAGTTCGCTGTTGGCGTCGCCGCGGGCGTCGTCGGGAGAAAGTCGCCGAATTACCCAGCAGCGGACGTTGTCGATGTTGGACAACGTCTGCTGTTGGGAATCGTTCTCGTTCTTCCCGTTCCCATGCCGGGCGCGTCAAGAAGAAAGGGGATTATATGTTTTGGCGGCTCGGAAGTGTCGCGCCAAATGTGCGTCGTTCTTCTCAGCATCTCGGGGTCGCTTCTGTCCCTTCACCCCCTCCAACACGGTGCAGGGTAAAACGTGTTGAGAAAAGCGGTCACAAGTTTTGAATGTGACGGCTTGAAAAGTTTGGATGTGTGAGGAGTGGGGAGAGATTGTGGGGTGAGGATGAGGAGGACGTGGGGACACAGAAAATGGAGGATGACAAAGAGGCGGGGGAGGACGGGGAGGATAAAGGAGCGTGATGTACGAGGAGGAAGAGGAGTAGGAGAAGAAGAGGACCAGAGTAAACCCAAAGATGAATCAACAATGTTGCAGTACGCCCACCCGTCCCGAGTCCCCTACTCATTAGCCCCCTACAAGAATTCCTGCTCACTGCGGAAAGGGCCCCTTTTGTAAGACGGGCGTGCCATGGTCCTGCAATTCAGGCGAAAGCCCCGTTTGAAAAGGAGCCTTCATCCATGCCTCTGGCTATAAGGGCGGTCACGAAGTGGGACCAGAAAGTCCAAGGAAGCATCCAGCGAGAACGCCGAATTGAAATTGAGCCGTCGCGCATCCGTGCAGCCGCTGCACAACTCTAAAACGTCTGGACATGATAATTAGGGTGGAAGTTCAGCTTCGAAAACGAACCGCCCTCCATACATATAGCCGTTGAAAGTTGTTTCACATGAATGTGCGCGGCGCTGAGGCAAGAGCCACACTTAGAGAAGGAATTGCCTCTCCATCTTTACAACCGTCGTTTGGAGTTGTTCAAACATACGCGCGCGGGCGTAAGGAGATAGCCACCTTTGGAAAGCGCCCCCTCCCCCCATCCGTGTGACTGTTTGTGACTTGTACTACGAATATGCGCGGCGCTAATGCGAGAGTCAATTGATGGAAACCGCCCCGCTCCACCCGCGTAATTGTTGGACTTGTGTAAGACGAAGGCGCGCAGCGTAAAGGCGAGAACCACATGTTGGTCACCCCCTTGAAGGCAACGTTGTACTCGGAAGTGTTTAAGACAAGTATGCGCGGCGCTAAGGCGAGCGCTGTCGTTTAAAACGCAACCGCCCTCCATCCGTGTAACTGTTGGCAACTTAGAATACCAATGTCGCACATCCGTGCAAAGGCTGGTAACCCCCCCCCCCATGTTGGAATGCTTGCTCACAGTTTGAACCCCCCCTCCCATCCGTGCAAAAGTTGGTAACGTTTAAGACGAATGTGCGCGGCGCAACGGCGATAACCACGTGTTGGCCGCCCCATCCACCCGTGTGTTTGTTGCAATGTTCAAGCGCCAGGGCCATCTCAGGCGAAACGTCTGGCCCGCCCTACCAAGACGCATGATGGCCAGGTGAGGATAAGTGAAGTCACGTGTATGGACGCAGGGAGAAATAGACGGAGGGGGATGAGGAGAGGGGATATGGAAAACGAGGAAGGAGGAGGGGGATTCGCCCTCCCTCGCCCCCTTCTCCGCTCCCTCTTTCCCCGCCTTCCCTTCATTGGTCTCATTTCATTCCTCCCCGCCTTCGCTCCTCCCCCTCGTCATCCTCATCATCATCGCAGCATCCTTGCGTCTTCCGTCCAATCTTGGCTCAAGCTTCAAAGGCGCGGCGCCCGCGGCGGACCCCCCATGTTCGACTAGGTGGTGCAGCGCGGGGGGGAGTACGCCGCGCAGGGCTTGGTGAACTACATCGCGCGGTGCCCAGCGTCGCCGCCGTGCCCGGCCTGCCCGGCGCTCACCTGCCAGGCTTGCGGCGCCTGCCAGGCGCCCGCGTGCCCGGGCCTCTCGTGCCCGACCTGCCCGGCCTGCCCGGGCCTCGCGCCGGCGGCTGGGCCGGCGGCGTGGCCGGCCTGCCCGCAGGCCCCGGAGGCAGCCCCGTGCGCCGGCCGCGGCTGGGGGCTGCTCTGGTTCGTGTGCGGCGTGGCCTTCGGCCTCGCGGCGCCCGCGGCGCTGCTGAGCGCTCGGCGCGCGGCTCGGTGCTGTCGCAGGCGCAGGCGGGCCGCCATCCAGGACGACTCGGAGCCAGGGCCTGCCCCCGTGAGCGATGGCGACGTGGGCGTACGTGCTGTACATCGGGGCCGGCCCCCGGCAGGTCTGGCACCAGAGGCTGGTGCTGGGTCAGGTGGCGTTATCGGCTGGTAAGCTCTTCGTGATCGCCACCCCCGACCGGCACGTGTACGCGGAGGACTACAGTGCAGGCTCGGCCGACGTCGCGGCTGTGAGGTGGGCGACGGCCTTCAACGTGCTGCCGGACGGCATCCCTCCCGGGGACGTCTACCGCTTCCGGGCGGAGCCGACGGTGGCGCAGCGGGCCGCCTTCCTCGCCGCGGCGGTGCCCGAGGCCGCGGGCGAGTGCGCCGGGCTGCGGCCCAAGGCGTGGCGGCCCCGGCGGTGGACGCCCACTGCCTGCTGCCGGTCCCGGTGGGCGGACCCGCGGCCGGCGCGGGGGCTGCCGCGGTGGTGGCTGCTGCGGGCGCGCCCGCTGCTCCCGGAGCCGCGGCGCCCGCGCGTGTGCCGCCGCCTGTCGGGCCCCTGCAGGGGGTTGTGGCTGTTGGCGCGGCTGACGGACGTGGTGCTGCTCGCTGGGTCGCCGCCGAGTGCTTCGGCGGCTTCCGCGTGGGGGACGACGTGCCCCACCAGGCCGGAGCGGGCGCCATCGGGGACAAGGACATCCACCGGCTTGCGGACGGCTCGGGCCTCTTCGTGCAGTACTTGCGGCCGGCAGACGAGCAGGAGTTCTTCGACCGCATCGTGGCCAGCGACGCCCGCATCCTCCCGGTGCGCCGCAACAGGCTTGGGCGGCGGGAGCGCACGTGGGCTGACATGTGTGCCGCGGTGACGAAGGAGGACTTCGGCAAGGACTGGACGCTCGGTGGCGTCCGGACGGCGGGGTGGTGCCTGGAGCACATCAACTCGGAGGGCGGCAGCTTGGACGCTCACCATGATCGTTTTCGATCGCTGCGCCGCCTGGAGCCCAACGCCTGGGGGGTGGCCGAGCACCTCGAGACGGCGGCGGTCAAGGCCGGCCTCCTCGTCGACCAGCTCGACGGCACGAATCTGGTCATGGTGGAGATGCTGCTGAGGAGAATGCAAACCATTGAATTCGCCCACCTCGAGCGGGCGAAGGAGGCGGAGTCGAAAGGGTACAGTGGCCGCCTCAGCCTCGAGGAGCAGCAGGCGTTCTCGGGGCTCAGCCGGGGCTCGGGGCAGCTGATGATCTGTCTGGAGCTCCTCGACGTGGTTCGCGTTGACGTGGAGCGGGAGGCGCAGCTCAACAAGGCCCTCCGGAAGGGCCGCGAGGAGCGAGAAGCCGCCCGAAAGAAAGGCGGGGGCGACAAGTCGTGAGCCGCCGCCGACATCTACATCTGAGGTTGGCCCGCGCTGTTCTGAGGGTGCAGTGCAGGCCTCTTGTACTCTGTTCGTCCCCCTCCTCCTGTCCTCCGGGTTTCTCCCCCTCATGCATACTTCTGCGCCTCGCGCTCCCGGCGCCCGGGACGCGCGCGGGCCCCGTGCGCCGCCGCCCTACGAAGCTTTTAATTACGGAGACGAGCCCTCCCGCGCGGTACCCCGCGACATCTTGCCTTTACCGCGGCCGGTGGTGGAGCGGTATCGGGGTACCGACGGGGGGCTCTCCCGTGCAGTCCGGCAGCGTCTGGGTAAGCGCGAGAGTTTTGAGTTGGACTGCGATCGCGCCGTCCACGCCTTGAACTCGCTCTATCTTCACCAGGACCAGCCTCCCGTCGGCCAGGGCGCCGACCGAGCAGTTTTTGTTTCGCTGGGCCAGCGTCACTGTCTTGATAGGGCCCGGGACTCCGTCGCTGCTCTCGGCCCGCCTCCGCCGGAGGTGACTCCCGCAGAAGCTCTCCGGAAGCTTCGCGTGGCGAGCTGGTATGATGTGGACTCTGCCGTGCTCGGTTCCTATAACCTCGCTAGCGTCTCGCCCCCCTCTGGCTCGCCGGCACCGGTACCGCTCGAGGATTTTCGGGGCGCGGGCGGGTCGGACATGATTAGGGACTTCGTCCAAAGCCGATTGCTACCGTCTAGTGAGGTAGATACTCGTTTGAAAAATTATCAGGTCGCGGTGCCGCATAGTGATCCTAAGCTGCGTCGGGTCGCGGCTTTTGAGGAGTTCATCCGTGCATTGCAGCAGCGAGGCATGGTAGATTTCAGCTTCTCATGCAAGGAAAGGGTTGAAGCATTTTTCGCGCACGAGAAATCCGGGAAGCTCCGGCTGGTAGTTGACTGTCGTAGAAGCAACTGTCATTTCCAGGACCCCGCCCCCGTTCCCCTCCTCACCGGCGAAGGCCTGGCAGGGCCGGAGCTCGGCGAGGGTGAGGAGTTGCATGTTGGCGGAGCCGATTTGTCAGACGCCTTTTATCATATGCAGTTGCCTCCCGATTTGAGACCGTTTTTCTGTTTCAGGGCCGCGCGGGCGGGGGCGGCGGGGTGTACTAGGGTCAATGGGAAGCCCGTTCCTCCGTCAGCCATGGTCTACCCCCGACTGTCTGTGATACCGATGGGCTGGAGCTGGGCCCTGTGGATGCGTCAAACGGCCCACGAGCGCATTGTGGAACAAGCCGGAGCTTCCCCGGAGAACCGCATTGTAGATAAGCAGGTGACGCTGGACCTTCATCGAGCGTGCCATTCGCAGTACGTGGACAACTTCATCGCCGTCTCTACCGACGCCAGTGCTGTTCGCTCTCTCGTTGCTGATGCTATTCGTGCTCTTGAAGGGCGGGGTCTGGTCGTCCATGAGGAGGAGTATTCTGGGGAGGACAAGGTGGCCCAGGTTTTGGGGTGGCAGATCGACGGGCCCCGGGGCCGCGTGGCTGCCACCCCTGTCCGCCTCTGGAGGGCCCGCCTGGCAATTCGGGCGGTCCTCCGGAGGGGGGGGTGCTCTGGGCGTGACCTGGAGCGCCTCCTGGGGCATCTTGTCTTCCTCTCCCTGGCCCGCCGGGAGGGGTTATCGCCGTTCTGGTCGTGCTATGCCTTCGTCAGGAAGAATTACACCCAGGAAGAGCGTCTGTGGGCTTCGGTACGTCGCGAACTCTCTCTCTCTGGGATGGGCTTGCTCCTCTCCTCTGGCGGGACCTCCGGGCGGGCTGGAGCGACGAGGTGGCGGCCGTCGATGCTAGTGAGTGGGGGCTGGGGGCGTGCGCCGCACAGTGTGGGGCCTCTCTGGCCCGGAGCGTCGGCCGGACCTCGGAGCGATGGCGCTGGGGTCGGGTCGGCGCTGCCATGGGTCCTCGTCGCCACGCGCTGGACCACGCTCGTAAAGCCGAGGCGGCGGCGGCCCTGGCGGGGGAGGCCCGCGAGGCTGCCCCCTGGATCGCCGCCGCCAACGACGTCCCGGGGCCCGAGTGCGCACCCCCTCAGCCCCCCTCAGCTGGCTCAGGTGTCCTGGACAGCCCCGGCGACGTCTTCGGGTTCGGTCGGGTCAGGCGGGTCGTGGACTTCCCAGAGGTCCCGCGGGATATGATCGAGCTGCAGTGGTCCGTCGTCGGTCGCTTCCCGTGGAGGCGCAAGGGGGAGAGCATCGCCGTGCACGAGGCCAGGGCCACCCTGTACGGCTTTCGTCATCTCCTTCGTTCGTCTCGGAACCTCGGGAAGCACGCGCTGGTCCTGGGGGACTCGCAGTCGACGGCCGGGGCGGTGACGCGGTTTCGGAGCGACAGCCGTAGCATGATGCGGGTCACCCAGGCGATCGCGGCCCTCTCGCTCGCGACCGGTTCGGCCTTGCATTATCGATGGTTGCCCTCGGAGTGGAACGTCGCGGACTCTCCTTCCCGAGGCCTCTGGGCTCCAGCTGCTCCGAGCCCGCTCGATTTCTCCAAACATGCTCCTGCGGGCCAGCCCCGCACCGACCTCGACCGGCGCGCGGACGGCGGCGCCGACGGCCCCGCTGGCCTCGCCGCTGGACAGGCGGGAGGCCACCCGTGGTGCCATGACGGCGAACCTCTCTACGTCTGCGCGGGCCCCCGGCCCGCCGCGCCGGCGGCCAGCCGTTGCCCGCCCTCCTCCGGCCAAGAGGAAGCGCCAGACGGTGGCCGACGTCGCGGCCCGGCGGAGGGCTTCTGCTGTCACAGTGGGCGGGCTCACGGTGCTCGAGAGCGCCTCGGTTCGGCCCCGGACGCGGCAGAAGTACCAGTCGCTGTTCGCCGAGTTCCTGGCGTGGCTCGCCGTCCCGGTGGCGACCTCCGAGGCGGGCGTCGACCAGCAGCTCGTGGGGTGGCTGGACGCGCTGCACCTGGGCGGCGAGAACCTGGGCTCGGCCCAGTGGGGCTTCGCGGCGGTGACGTTCTTCACGGGCCTCCAGAAGTCCGCGGGGGCCCTCATGCCCAGGAGCCGGAGGGCCCTCCAGGGGTTCAGGCGCTGCTGCCCTCCCCAGTCGCGGCTTCCGCTGCCGCGCGAGGCGGTGGCCCTGATCGCCAACGAGCTGGTCAGGTTGGGGAAGCTGCCCTTCGCGATCGCGATCGTCGTGATCTTCGAGCTGTACCTTCGGCCAGGCGAGATTCTCAACGTGAGGGTGGTGGACCTCATACCCCCGGTGCTGGGCGTGGCGAGCGCCCCCTGCTGGGCCATCACGCTTCACGCGCAGGAGGTCGGGAGGTCGTCAAAGACGAACGAGTTCGACGAGTCCATGCGCCTGGACTTGGAGCGGCATGCCCCTCTCGGTCCGGCGCTCAAGGCCCTCTGCCAGGGCCGGAGCCCGGGCTCGCCGATCTTCGACTTCGCCCTGAAGGACCTGGTGACGGCGGCGTGCGGCGTCGCGCGGAGCCTCAAGCTGGACGAGTACCTCGGCGACGTCCACCTGTACCAGCTCAGGCACGGCGGCGCCTCGCACGACTCCGCCGGGGGCTTCAGGAGCCTGGGGGACGTGAGGCGCCGCGGGCGCTGGCGGTCGCGGGCTTCGGTCAGGCGCTACGAGAAGGGCAGCCGCATCGGCCAGGTGCTGCTCAAGCTGCCCGAGGACCTCCGCGCCCACGCGCTGTCCTGCGAGCGCTCGATGGCCTCCATCGTCCGCGGCCGGCCTTGTCCGGCGGCCCCCGGCCCCAGGTCCGCTTCTTCCTCGAGGTCTTCTTGGGGCCAGGCCGGCTCGGCCAAGCGGTCGCGAGGGAGGGCGTGAACGTTCTTCTCTGGGACGTGGAGCCGTGTGCCGATTACGATCTTCGTCTGGCCCGGAACCGCAGCCTCATCAGAGGATGGATCCGCTCAGGCATCGTGATTGGCGCCCACTTGGGAACACCATGCCCCTCGTTTTCGCGGGCACGCGATGTGCCCCCAGGCCCTCCACCGTGAGGTCTAACTCGCCACCCATGGGCCTCGACGACCTGAGCCCCGCCGACGCCGACAAGGTTCGCGTCGGCAACTTGTTAATGTTTTTCTCCGTGGCGGTGATGCGGGATGCTATGCTTTTGGGAATACCAGCTACTCTTGAGAACCCCGCCCGGAGCCGCATCTGGATTTGCCCCGCCATGCAGAGACTTCGAAAATCCAACAAGATCAATTTCACCGTCACCGATTTCTGCATGCGGGGCGCCCAGTGGAGGAAGTCGACCAGTTTCCTCAGCACGGGGCTGTGCATGGACGCCCTCGCCGAGGGTCGCTGTCTCGGCACCAGGCGTGGCCTGTGCAAGCGCACCGGCCAGCCGCACATCCCCATCCAAGGGAAAAACGACAAAGGTGTATTCTGGTCCAAGATCGCCGAGCCTTATCCTCCTGGACTTTGTAAAGCCCTGGCTTCTATCTACTACAATGCGTGGGCCTCGTCTAAAGCCGAGTTGTTCGACAAGAAGGTGTTTGCGGCCCCGTCGGGGCCAGATTGCTGATCGGGTGGTCCTGGAGGTCCGCCAGGTTTGGGAGGTGTGCGAGCTCGGCTCCCGAATGTTCTGGCCTCGCCCGCTCCGTTTCGCAAAGGTCGTCGACTCGTGCTACGCCGTCTGGCTGGAAAACGAAGCCCGGGGGGATGCCTTGTACTTGTACGGAAATCCTCGAGAGCGGAGTGGGACAGCCGTGGCAGCATCCTTGCGTCTTCCGTCCTATCTTGGCTCTAGCTTCACCCCCATCTACCCCAACCGCCGCCCTGTTTTTCTTTCAATTTAAGGTTTCTTCCTCGTTAGTTGTTTTTGAAGGGGAGGTGTGCGAGCTCGGCTCCCGAATGTTCTGGCCTCGCCCGCTCCGTTTCGCAAAGGTCGTCGACTCGTGCTACGCCGTCTGGCTGGAAAACGAAGCCCGGGGGGATCATCATCATCATCAGCATCATCATCATCAGCAGCAGCAGCATCATCATGTTCTTCTTCACCAGCATCATCGTCATCATCATCAGCAGCAGCATCATCCTCATCAACAACATCATCATCAGCTTCGTCATCATCAGCAGCAGTACCATCAGCATCATCACCATCATCAGCAGCATCATCAGCATCAGCATTGCCAGCAGCAGCATCATCATCATCAGCAGCAGCAGCAGAATCATAATTTTTATGTTCGCCATACCCAGAGCATCCAACAAAACCGCCCCATTTGATGATGACGATGATGATGATGATGATGGTGATGGTGATGGTGGTGATGGTGATGAGGCTGTCGCTGGTGATGGATTGTCATGATTGTCACATTGGGAGGGTGGTACTGGTGGTGATGATGATGACGATGATGACGATGGCGATGATGATGATGATGATGATGATGGTGGTGGTGGTGGTGGTGACGATAATGACGATGATGATGATCACGATGATGACGATGACGATGCTGGTGACGATGATGATGGTGCTGGTGATGGTGATAGTAATAGTTGCGATGATCATGATGCTCGCTTTGCTGATGATGATATTGGTGGTGATGATGATGGTGATGATGATCAGTGTGGTGCTGATGATGAGTATGATGAGTATGGTGGTAATGGTGGTGATACTGATGTTGATGGTGATGCGGATGATGTTTATGTTGATGGTGAAGATGAGGATGGGAACGAGGCTGTCGCTGATGATGGATGGTTATGGTGGTTACATATTTTGTGGTGTGCGTGTGATTGGTGTGATTATTGTGGTGACCATCATCATGAGGGTGATGATGGCGCGAAGGAGGAGGAGGAGGAGGAGGTTCCCTGAGCAAGTGGAGAGGGCTGCCAGCCACCCTAACGAAATGTGCCAAGTTCTGGTTACCCGTACCAACTAAAGGTGCCAAGCTCCGGTTTCTCGCATGATAGTTTCACGCAGTTCTTTTGCTCGGCTGCAGTAGGTGACGGGTGTAGGGCATGGTTGAGGGGAAGGGGAGAGGCCTGGCCAGGGCCACCTTGGGCAACACCCGGACGGAGTCGAGGGCCTTCGGCCTATCTCCTCTCCTTCCCTCAGGCTCGTCCTCTCCGCCTTCGCCTCAGTCCTGCAGGAGCTCGTGGAACAGGCCATCCACCGGTCGAGGATGGAGGAAGAGAACAGGCTGCGCGGGGCTGGAGCGCCCTGTCAGAGGAGGAGGAGGAGGAGGAGGAGGAGGAGGAGGCCGGGGAGGGGCACGAGGGGGGGAGGGGAGGAGGAGGAGGAGGAGGAGGAGGAGGAGGAGGTGGAGGAGGAGGAGGAGGAGGAGGAGGAAGAAGAGGAGGAGGAGGAAGAGGAGGAGGCGGAGGAGGACGAGGAGGAAAAGGAGGAGGAGGGAGAGGAGGAGGAGGAGGAGAAGAAGGAGGAGGAGGAGGAGGAGGACCGTAGCCATTTTGGATCCTCCGATGGGGGTGAAAGACCCGCAGCCTGGGCCCCAGCGCACGCCTCCGCCCCGCCCGCGCGGGCCTCCACGGCGGTGGCGCGGCGGGGGCTTCGTCGCCCCAGGCGGCGGCGGGGCCGCGGGGAGGAGCGGGGCACGCCGTGAGCGGTGGCGCGCGGCGAGGAACCCGCTGGTTCCGCGCTGCCCCACGGCCGCCTTGCTCCTCCTCCTCCTCCTCCTCCTCCTCCTCCTCCTCCTCCTCCTCCTCCTCCTCCTCCTCCTCCTCCTCCTCCTCCTCCTCCTCACCCCCGATGGGCGGCTGCTGCCTGGCGGAGGCGACCGCCAAGCGGACCAGCCCGCGGCGACCGTCAACAAGCTGGACTGCAGAGGGCGGGGCCGTCAGCTTCGACGAGATCGCGAAGTCCTGAGGCAGCAGTTGCAGGGAAATGGAGTTCAAGAACTCGGGCACTTGCAGGCCCCCTTCTGCGCAGCTCACAATAGCCGGACGTGTAAGGGCAACGGGTACGTCTTCCTCGCCGAGATGGAGGGGTGGATCCAGAAGGACCTGACCACCTTTTGCGGGCAGGGGGGCTGCGATGGAGACTCCACGGTTGAGCGAAAGACGGCTACGGCATTTCGAATGCTTTCCGCTCCCTGTTTGCTTGCCTCACCTTGTACGCGGCGATGCACGGTGTTTTCGTCCTCACCGACATGGCGGCGGCCCCGTCCCTGAGATTCGAGTCTGGATGCGTTTGTGTTTTCAGATCCGATGGACAGCTCACAAGATTCCCTGAGTTTGAAGGCCAGGAAAACAGGGTCTTGACAATTTTGGCTCAAGACCCATTTCCTTTCCCAATTCCCATCCACCTTTTATTATACACATTTCCATGCTCGCTTTCCCATCTACCTCTCTAATTTCCTTGCTGGTCAAATATAGGTCTGTGGCTGCAGTGCACTGCACTGGAGTGCGAGGGTGCTGGCTAGTGGCAAACCGGTTTCTCTACATCTTTAATCCCATCGTTGTCGCCTGAGGGGCGACAGTGGTAGCGGAGTTGTGAGCAGCTCTATTCTACGGACCGATGACGGCAGCGGCGGGAGAAGATGATAATCGAGGGCCATCACCAGCAGCAGAGGTAAGTCAATCGCTGGTGAGTTCGGTGATGGCAGTTCTGAAGCAGCAGGAGGGTCTCCATTTCCGAGGACGACGCCGAGAAATTGGCACGAGACGTCCTCAGTGCTACACAGCTGGAGACGACGAGGGGCTCCCAGCGGAGCTCGACAGTCGAACCCAGTGCACAAGCTCCCGGGGGGGGACCAGCGGAGTACGGTAGAGGATCCGACAGTCCAGATCCGTTCGGCCCCGTTCGACCCCTGGAGCTCATAGCAGAGTGGGAATCACGCTGGAGATCAGACGGCGCAGGCTGGAGCAGATCTCGGCTCCGACGCGCGAGCGTTCGGGACCGAGACGCTCCAAGGCTGGTCGCCGGGCTGGCGAGGAGGCACCTGGAGTGGAGCAGGCACGACCGAGGGAGAGAGTGCCACGACTACGGGCGCGCGTCAAGGGTGCCATCTGCGGCGTCTTGGACGCAGGCGACGGCCTGGAGCAGCGTGCACGACTGGCAGGCAGAGGGATCCACGCGGAGACGAATGGCTCGAGCCCGCCGGTTGGGGCGTCTCCAGGCTTTCGGACGGTGGCCACCCGTCGCCGCCTCGTGCGCCGACTGGCGTTACACCGCGCAGCTTCCTGCATCCTGGGTGCACCACAGACAGCAGCTGGAGGGGGAGGAGGAGGAGGAGGAGGAGGAGGAGGAGGAGGAGGAGGAGGAGGAGGAGAAGGAGGAGGAGGAGGAGGAAGAGGAGGAGGAGGAAGAGGAGGAGGACTAGAGGAGGAGGGGAGGAGGAGCAGGAGGAGGAGGAAGAGGAGGAGGAGGAGAACGAGGAGGAGGAGAAGGAGGAGAAGGAGAGGGGAGGAGGAAGAGGAGGAGAACGAGGAGGATGAGGAGGAGGAGGCGGAGGAGGCGGAGGCGAGGGGGAGGGTGAAGTGGAGACCACGCTCAGAACGTGTACTGCACAACACAGGCTGGGCTGCATAGATCTCTCTGCCTCGATATGAGAAGGTACCCTCCTGCCGAGGCCGGACGTATCCCCTCCCCTCCGCGTATTGAGTTGTCTTCTTCAGGTGCAAGACCATTCGTTCGAGACACCAATGTTTGTCATGTCTGCCAGGCTGGTGTCTGCCACCTTCTTCATCCCTGTCAAACGAATACCATGCATGCGGTGCACCCGCGTTGATTTAACGAGTGCGTGTTGCCATACTTTCTACCAAGTAATACCATGCGGGCCGCACGCGGGCACTGGACGATGAGCATCGGAGGTGGTCACGCGCGGTGCCGCCTGGTGAATTGCACCGTATGGGTTGCGCCGCATAGATTGCACAATATAGACCGGTCCAGATAGATTTTGCGACATTGGCTGCACTGCACTGATTATGCCACATCGCTTGCACCGCGTAGACTGCATATCAGATGTGCACGACCTTGCTGTTTGCGGCCCACGCTGGCAAGCATGTGTCAAAGACTGAATCTGCAGCCAGAGCTACTCATGCGTTTGATACTCGGAGTCTCGCCGTGCGATACGCGTATGAGAGTTGTATGTATGGGAGTATGGGGAGAAGGAGGGGGAGGGCAAGGCAGAGATGAGAACAGAGGGCAGCCAGGCGAGGATGGATGAGGAGCACTCTCCCTCATGTGCGCCCCTTTCCCCTCCATCTCCTCCCCACCCCATTCCCGCCTCCCTCTCCCGTCCGCGAAAATATCCTGCTCGCCACTCCTCCCCTTCCCCAGTTGCCTGGTCCCCGACTTCCCCTCCCTTTCCGTCCTGTCCTTCCCCCACCCCGCCATTTTTCTACATGCCCCCCCCCTCCACTCCCGCCCCCAGCCCTCTTCCCAAGTCTTTCCCCTTCCATTCCCCAGATCGCGCGCCCTCTCTGTCTCTCTCTCTCTCTCTCTCTCTCTCATTCTCTCTCTCTCTCTCTCTCTCTCTCTCTCTCTCTCTATATATATATACATATATATATATATATATATATGTATCATTTATCTCTATCTCTATATATATATATATGTCGGATTACATGTCCGCAAAAACCATAGCTACATGTATGTATGTATGCAGACATGGATGTATGTATGTGCGTGTGCAGTTAGGTAGGTATTTATGTATGTGCGTGTGGATGAATGGGTGGACGGATGGATGACTGTATGCCTGCATGTGAATGCATGGAATAGAATGGAATGGAATGGAGAATGGTATGATGTAGTACAACGTGATGGAGTGGAACGTGATGTAGTCTGATGTGATGTAATGTAATGTAATGTATTGCAACGGAATGGAATGCATGGTAGCGCAAGGCAATGTGATGGAATAATGGAATGGAATGCGATGTAATGTGATGCATTGTAGTGTAATGTGATGCGATGGGTTGCAATGTGTTGTAATGTAGTGCAACGTCTGTATACATATCGATATACGTATGTAAATATATATATATATATGTATATATGTATCGTGTCGCTCCCTCCCTCTTTCGCTCTCTCGCTTTCTCTCTCTCTCTCTCTCTGTCTCTCTATCTCACTCTCTCTCTCTCTCCCTCTCTCTCTGTCTCGCCCTCTCTCCCTCCACAAGCCCCCGTGTTTGGGCCGCCCGCAGGCAGCGCACGATGCTGATCAACGAGCAGGAGAGCGAGTACGAGGAGAGCCTCAGGATCGACCGCGAGAAGGCCGAGCAGAAGGCCCTGAAGGAGAAGGAGGAGGAGGAGCGGGCGCGCAGGTCCGCCCCCCCCCCCCCGCCGCATGCGGAGAAGGAGGAGGAGGTCAGAAGAGGAGAGGAGAGGAGAGGAGAGGAAAAGGGATGATGAGGATGAGGACGAGAGGAGGAGGTGGTGGTGGTGGGAGGAAGAGAAGGAGGGAAGGGAGGGAGGGAGGGAGGGAGGGGGGAGGGAGGGAGGGAGGGAGGAGGAGGAGGAGGAGGGGAGGAGGAGGAGGAGGAGGAGGAGGAGGAGGAGGAGTACGAGTACGAGGAGAGGAGAGGAGAGAGAGGAGAGGAGCGGAGAGGAGAGGAGAGGAGAGAGAAAGCAGAGAGCAGAGAAGCAGAGAGCAGAGAGCAGAGAGAGAGAGCAGAGAGCAGAGAGGGGAGGGGAGGGAGGGGACTGGAGAGGAAGGAGGAGGAGGAGAAGGAGGAGTAGGAGGAAGGGACAGGAGAGGAGGAGGAGGAGGAGGAGGAGGAGGAAGAGGAGGAGGAGGAGGAAGCAGGAGAGGAGGAAGAGGAGGAGGAGGAGCAGGAGCAGGAGCAGGAGGCGCTGGCGGGCAGACGCCGCGCTCCGGGGGCGCAGGGAAGGCACAGCGAGGAGGGCGGCCCAGTGGGGGCCCCCCGAGGCGCAGATGCGAGCCCCACCCGCCCCACCTGAGCGGCTCGCGGCGGGGGAAGCACGGCGCGGCGGAGGGCGGGGCGGCCTTCGGTGTGGAGGTTGGCGCGACAGGCGGGGGCGCTCGCGGCGGGGGCGGGCGTCGCTCCACCAGCGGGCCGGGGCCAGCCCGAGGACGGCACGAGAGGCAGCGCGGAGCGATTCTCCAGCACCTCCTCCAATTGCTCCTCCTCCTCCTCCTCCTCCTCCTCCTCCTCCTCCTCCTCCTCCTCCTCCTAGGCCCGAGGCCGCAGCAGGCCGAAGGCCCTGGCCCAGAAGGCCTCGGGTTCTCCGACGAGCAGAGCGCGGGGACCTGGGGTACGGCGGAATCCCCATGCCAAAGGAACACCCTGCTTGCCTCCAGGGTTCCCTGGGTTTCCTGGGTTCCGATGGCTTTTCTATGGACCGCGTGACGCTCCTACACCAAAAGTCCATGGACATCCTGGGGTCTCAGGGTTGGTTTCTTGTGGAAGGTTCCTCGTGGACTGGCCTCCACTGCATGGGGCAGTGGGCTTGCCTTGGTCAGCGGGGCGACGACCAGCCAAGGACAGCCTTCTGCTCCTGGCTGCACGACCAGAGACTTGCTCGGGCACAACACAACCCATCAAGAGTAGGAGGGCGCGGCGGTGCCCAGAAACCCCTTGAAGAATTTCCCCCATACCCCAGCCCACGGGGGAGTCGGGGGAGGTCCCCCCCCGGAAACCTCCTTTTTCAGGAGGGCGTTTGAAAAGGCTTGGAGAGGTTAGAGAGGAGAACCCCCCCTCATGGAGGGGGGAGTTTGGATTTCTTCCCGGAGCCCTCCTTAGGGAGGGTCTTGGAAGAGCCAGAGGAAGTCATCGAGCATCAGGGGGGTCTGTTCCCTGGACCCCATTTAGGGTGGGTTACTGGGGAGGCCTAGGGGGGTTAGAGATGCTGTTCCTCTGGAGTACCCCCTCCCGAGTCGGGTGCGGGGACGCATGCGAATACCGCCATTGGGGCCTTCGGTGGAGCTCCCTATTGCGTCACGAAACGTGTGAGGGTGTCCCGACTCGGGTGCGGGGACTGCGAACACCGCCTCTGAGGCCTTCGGTGGAGCCCCCATATGGGGCCACGAAACGTGTGATAGGTGTCCAGGATCGGGTGCGGGGACGCACGCGAACACCGCCACTGGGGCTTCGGTGGAGCTCCCTATGGGGCCACGAAACGTGTGAGGGATGTACTAACATGGTTGACTGGTGCGGAGGGCAGAGCCATGGATGTGAAGAGGGAGGAGGGGGAAGAGGAGGAGTGAGTGGGACCCGAGGCGCTGTCTCTTCAAAACGAGGACCCATCACCACAGGATGATTGGTAAAAAAATTGTACTGAACGTTTCCCCCTTCTGTGAACCACCCTCTGCTAGACGAGGCCCCTCCCGAAGTTGATAAGATAAATCATCCTGGGCACTAGATGTGCCACTCTGCTGTGTAACTCTGCTGTGTACCGCCAGCTACTAGACGAGGTCCCGCCCCGAGCTGATCACACAAGCATCCTTGGTATTAGACGTGTCCCTCTGCTATGCATCATTCTCTGCTAGGCGAGGCGCCCTCCATAGCTGATTTAAAAAAGGAATCCTTGATACAAGACGTGCACCGTTGCAGCGCAACACCCTCTGCTAGACGAGGCCCCTCCCCAAGTACTTGTTCAATCATTTCCGGAATGGGCCTTGTCTAGCGGAGGGATGTGCACAACCAGCAGTACCGACATCCCTCCCCTCAATAACCCGAAAACTCCGACGAGGCGCTTCCAAGAGCGGATAAACAAATACATCCTCAGTATCAGAGGTGCCTCTATGTTGCTCACCACCCTCTGCTAAACGAGGCCCTTCCCAAGTTGTTGTTTACCAAAAATCATGATTGGTACTCGACGTGCCTCTCTGCTGTGTACCTCCCGCTACTAGACGAGGTCCCTCCCAAAATTGATTCGAACACGCATCCGTGATATTAGACGCGCCCCTTAGCTGTGCACCACCCGCTGCTAGACGAGCCCCCTCCCCAAGTTGATTCAAAAAGCACCCTTGGTACTGCACGTACCCCTGTGTTGCGCGTCATCCTTGGCAGACGGGGCCCCTCCACAATGTCGAATGGCCTTCGGCCCATCCCGCCACCCGGCCTGGGTTTTGGGTACGAAGCGTATTCAATGTTCGTTGGGATATCGTGGGAGGCCTCTCGGGGGCCTCTTTGAGACAGTTTGTACGCCTCTTGCGGGCCGTTTGGGTGCCTCTGTTAGGCTTATTGCCTCTTGGCACCTATTGGGGGCCTCTTGGGGCATCCTGGTGCTTCTTGGGACCTCCTGGGGGCCTCTTGGGGCGGAAGGCTCGGATTTTCGGCGCGTGTGCGTTCCATCTCTTGGGCCCCTTTTGGGGCCGCCTTGGAGCCCTCTTGGGCCTGCTTGGGCGCCTCTTGGGCCGTGTGGGCCCTTTTTGGGGTGGTTTTGGGAGCCTCTTGGGCCGTCTTCAAGCGTCGGAAAGCCGAAAAGGCAAAAACGCCCAAACCCTTCAAGAACTCCAGGAAAATCTAGCATTTTTGCCCCTTGGAGGCCTATTGGGCCGTCTGGTGGCCATCCTTGGCGTCTTGGGCCGATGGTTGGCGACTCGGGGCCCTCTTGGAGCGTCTTGGGGGCGAGCCCCACCACTTCCCGGAGCCCAGGGAGCACGCGGGAAGCCCCCGGGGGGCAGGTGCCAAGCCCGGGAGAGATGGGGGCGTGGGGTCCGGGCTTTGAAAGACCCCTCGGGTGTGAGGGTTGGGGCTACGAGGCCTGGGCCCAGGATCGGAGGACACGCCCACTCCGTGCCCAGCGACACGGTGGCGGATCTTACGCGTGAGCGGATACAATCTAAAGAAGCATGATTCGTACTACGTGTGCACCACCCTCTGCTAGACGAGGATCCCCCAAGCTCATGTTTCAATAACATACTGCGTACTAGACGAGCTTCCCTGCTGTGCACCGCCCGCTAGTAGACGTGGCCCCTCCCCAAGCTGATGGAAAACAAAAAACATACGTGCTGCTGGACATGCCCTTCTCCCGTATACCACTTTCTGCTAGACCAGGTCCCTCCCCAAGTGGGTCAAAGCATATCCTTTGTACTAGACGTGCCCGTCTGCTGTGCAGCACTTGCAAGATTTCGAAACCCCATTACTCCAAAGCTTCCATCTCCAACATCACACCCAGGACTCCACAGCCTACGTCTCCAACACACACACACACACACATATACATACATACATACATACATACATACATACATACATACATACATACATACATACATACATGCATACATACATACATACATATATACATATATACATATAGAGAGATATACATATATGTATATATATACATATATGTATATACACACACATACACGCCGCAGCACTCATCAGCCCTGTTTTCCCTCTTGGGACGTATGGGGGCCCTCTTTGGCCGTTTCGGTCGCCTCTTGGGCCGTCTTCGGGCCCTCTTGGGGGCCTCTGAGGCTATCCTGGGGCGGTCGTGGGGTCCTCTTGGGACGTGTTGGAGCGCCGGGAAGCTCGAGAAGTAGAGAACCCTGAACACAGGTTTACATTTAAAAACAAAAATTCGGTGATGTTTTTTAACACAAAAAAATGTTCTGACATCTCGGGGCCCTCGCTCGTGGAGGCCTCTTGGGACGTCTTGGACCAGGTTTCGGCCGACGGGAGGCCATCTCGGGCGACTTGGACCGATCGTTCCGCCCTTCGGGGCCCTCTCGGAGCAGCATCTTGGAGCCCTTGGCGCCCTCGATGTATAGATAGACATATACATATATATATATATACACACATATACATACATACCTACATACATACCTACCTACCTACCTACCTACCTACATGCATGCATGCATGCATGCATACATACATACATACATACATACATACATACATACATATAAATATATATATATATATATATATATATATATACATATATATATATATTATGTATATGCGCATGTATACATGCATGTACGTAGCACCCCGCAGTTGCGGATAAGAGTGAGGGACGGCGAGGACGTCGTCAGTCTGCGAGGCTCTGAAGAAGCCCGCCGCAGGCGCCTAATTCCCCAATCAGTGATTGCACTGAAGGGGTCCTCGCAGAAGTTGAAGGACTTGGCGAAAGTTTCCCGCCGATTTTGGTCGCACGCTGGGTTCCGGGGTTCCCGGTTCCGGGTTCCCGAGTTCCCGGTTCCGGGTTCCGGGCCGATTTCGGACGGCAGCAAAATTCCCGGGGTCCCGGGTTCTTGGTCGATCTTTTTATCGATCGGTCTCACCATCGATCTCATTACCCATTTCTCTATCGATCTCACCATCGATCTCACAATCGATCTCAGTATCGATCTCACAAGCGATCTCACTAGAGATCGCATGAGCGATCTCGCGATCGATCTCACTATCGATCTCATTGAATCGATTTCACTCTCGGTCTCACGATCGACCTTACAATCGTCCGCACTATCGATTCCACTATCGATCTCATGATCGATCTCACAATCGATCTCAATATCCATAGTATTTACTTTCAAATCATCCACTGTTTTTAACAAATTATGCATTGAGCCCGCCGCAGGCGCCGATTTTTTCGTTCAGCAATGTGGGTTGATCGCGGGGTGGGTCGCGGGTGGATCGCGGGCGGGTCGCGGATGGGTCGCGGGCCGGGTCGCGTGTGGGTCACGGGCGGGTCGCGGGTGGGTCGCGGATGGGTCGCGGGTGGGTCGCGGGGTGGGTCGCGGGTGGGCCGCGGGTGGGTCGCGGGGTGGGTCGCGGAGTGGGTTGCGGGGTGGGTCGCGGGGTGGGTCGCGGGGTGGGTCGCGGGTGGGTCGCGAGGTGGGTCGCAGGGTGGGTCGCGGGTGGGTCGCGGGCGGGTCACGGGGTGGGTCGCGGGTGGGTCGCGGGTGGGTCGCGGGCTGGGTTGCGGGGTGGGTCGCGGGGTGGGTCGCGGGGTGGGTCGCGGGTTGGGTCGCGGGTGGGTCGCGGGGTGGGTCGCAGGGGGACGACGACAACAAACAACAACAACAACAACAACAACAACAACAACAACAACAACAACAACAACAGCAACAGCAACAGCAACAGCAATAGCAACAACAACCATAACAACAATCATTTTAAGATTGCTCGCTCTTATCTGCTCGAGTGTCCGTTGACGCGTATTCCCCAAACCCTCGATACCCGCCTTCTTCGTCTTCGATCGTACCCCTTTTGGGGGGTAATTATATGTTTCTTCCGTGCAGGGCCCCGGCAAGCGGCGGAACGGCCGCGGACCGTCGGCCTTGCCAGCGGCAGCGCTGATCGGCGGCAACCCGACCCCAAGAGGGACGGACAGGGGACCGACCACGACGACGACGACGTCGACGACGACGACGTCGACGACGACGACGGCGACGAAAACGACGACGACGACGAGCGACAGCGAGAGCGAGAGAGAGAGAACGACAGCAGGGCCACGAAGGCACGAAGCAGGCCACGAAGGGCGACAGTGGGGACACGAAGGGAATGCGTATTGGGCCACGAAGAGAGCGAACGAGCGGCGGCCACGAAAGGCAGATAATGCGTGGTCACAGAAGGCAGCGACGGGCCCCCTAAGGGTAGCAAATGGGCCACGTAGGACAGCGAGGGGGCCACGAAGGGCGACAGCGGGGCCACGAAGGGCATGCACGTGGGGCCACGACGGGCGCGAACGAGCGGGGGGCACGAAGGGCATATGGACGGGGCCACTGACGGCTGCAACGGGGCCTCGAAGGGCAGCGAGGGGGCCACAAAGGGTGACAGCAGCGGGGCCACGAATGGCATGCATATGGGGCCACGACGGGCGCGAACGAGCGGGGGCCACGAAGGGTTGCAACGGGGCCACGAAGGGCAGCGAGGGGGCCACGAAGGGCTGCAACGGGGCCACGAAGGGCAACGAGGGGGCCACGAGAGGCTGCAACGGGGCCACGGAGGGCAGCGAGGGGGCCGCGAAGGGCTGCAGCGGGGCCACGAAGGGCAGCGAGGGGGCCACGACGGGGTGCAACGGGGCCGCAAAGGGCAGCGAGGGGGCCACGAAGGGCTGCAGTGGGGCCATGAAGGGCATCGAGGGGACCACGAGGGGTAGCAAATGGGCCACGTAGGACAGCGAGGGGGCTACGAAGGGCTGCAACGGGGCCAGGGCAGCGAGGGGGCCACGAAGGGCGACAGCGGGGCCACGAAGGGCATGCACATGGGGCCACGAAGGGCTGCAACGGGGCCACGAAGGGCAGCGAGATCCCGATTACTAGATAATTTGTGAGGGAGTCCTCAGCGTGAGCGCGAGTCCTGGGTGCCTGAGTGTCGGGAGCGCGGCGCTTGAGCATATTGCGGGAAATTCCAACGCAACGCTATTCTTGAGTAACTTGCAAGCAAGTCGTCAGCGAGAGCGCGGTTCCAGAGCGCCGAGAGAGCGATTCCTGAATAAATTGTAAGGAAGTCCCAAGCGAGAGCACGATCCCTGAATTAATAGCGAGGATAGCGAGGAAGTCTCATGCAGGAGCGGGGGTCCTGGCTAAATTGTGAGGAAGTCTCAGGTGGGAGCCGTTGTTGTTGTAACCCGGGGGCCGGGGGCACAGTTTGAGCTTCAAGATGTTCCATGATAAAAAAACCGGGTGCGAGCGCTGGGAGGGGCACTTCAATTGAAAAATACAATATTCACCGGAGGGGGGATCAACAATAATTATTCTTCAGTAGTGAGAGTTCAACGCAACAAGCAGAATCTGCACCACGGATCACCACTAGAGCCACGCACCCAGGGACAATGAATGACCGCTCGGCCTCCTGATTATGATGTGTGCATGTATGTATGCATGCAATGGAATGGAATGGAATGGAACGGAACGGAATGGAATGGAATGGAATGGAATGGAATGGAATGTATGTATGTATGTATGTATGTTTGTACGTATGTATGTGCATGTGTATATATATATATATGTGTTGTTATGTATGTATGGATGTGTGTACGCGTGGGGGGGGGCGTATACGTTTATGGGTATATTCATACACATGTGAACAGGTGTATGGGTAGATGCTTGTGCGTGTCAGAACAGGTGTACAATGATGCAGGCAAACATGCACACACACACGTACACACATACACACACACACACACACACACACACACACACACACACACACACACACACACACGCGCGCGCGCGCGCGCGCGCTCTTACATGTGTAATATATACATGTGAGATATACACATCCATGGATGTATAAAAAGAGAGTGATGAGACAGACAGGCAGAGACAGAGAGAGGTTCCTCTCACTCTGCCGCCAGCTCCTCCACCCCCATCTCCACCTCCAGCACCGCTCCTGTGTTGGAAAGCACCACTCCAAATCCCCCCCCCGTCCTTTCCCCCCACCCGACCCCCTCCCCTCTGCCATCCCTTCCCGCCTTCTCGCTGCCCCTGGTAGGAGGAAGAAGCGGGACGAGGAGGAGGAGGAGAAGAAGAAGGAGGATCAGGAGGAGACGCACGAGGAGGAGGAGGGAGGAAGGGAAAAGGAGAGGAGGAGGAGGAGGAGGAGGAAGAGGAGGGAGGAGGAGAAGAGGAGGAGGAGGAGGAGGGAGAAGAAGAAGGAGGAGAGGAGGAGGAGACACAGGAGGAGGAGGAGGAGGAGGAGGAGAATGAGGCAGAGCGGGAGGAGGATGAGTAGAAAGAGAAAGGAGGATGAGGAGGGGGAAAGAGGGAGGAGGAGGAGGAGGAGGAGGAGGAGGAGAGGAACGAGGAGGAACGAGGCGGAGAAGGAGGAGGAGGAGGAGGAGGAGGAGGAGGGATGGGGACGAGGAGGGAGTAATTCGGGAGGAGCTGCTCTCCCTTCCAGCCTCCTCGCTGCCCCCACCCCACCCCGCCCGCGGCGCCCCCACGGCGCCCCCGACTCCCCCAGGGAGGCCGAGGAGCAGGAGGCCATCCGGAGGGAGCAGGCGCAGAAGGAGGCGGAGGCCGCCGCCGAGGCGGAGCGCCGGCAGGCCAAGGCCACGGAGGCGGACGGGGCGCCCTTGGGCTGCCGCTGGCGTGCCCCTCGCTCGTCCTCCCCCCTCCCTCCTCCCTCCTCCTCCCTCCTCCTCCTCCCTCATCCTCCTCCTCCTCCTCCTCCTCCTCCTCTCCTCCTCCTCCTCCTCCTCCTCCTCCTCCTCCTCCTCCTCCTCCTCCTCCTCCTCCCTTCCTCCCTCCTCTCCTCCCTCCTCTCCTCCCCCTCCCTCCCCCTCCTCCTCCTCCTCCTTCTCCTCCTCCCCTTCCCCCTCTGGTCTGAACATGAACACCCATGAATCATGAACATAACGCTTTAAAACAGAACACAACCCGTCCGACCAGTGTGAACATGAACGCTTGAAAACAAAACACAATAGGAAATAAATCCGACTATATGTTGTTATTTTTCCCTGGGAGCAGTTCTTCGTCCCGGGGCCATGTTTGCTGGTCCTGGGGCCCGACGAAGGGCCCCCGGGTGCCAAAGTCGAAGGAAAAGCGGCGGCTGACAAAACCACATCGTCGGAGATTTGTGAATGCGCCACACTTAAGTCGGGCATGTCCCTCTACAGGAGGAATATTCCAGAATGGTTAAAAAGATAGTCTGGGGATAATTCTTCGTGCTCAATTCACTATTTGGGATGTTTGTTTACTATTTTTGATTGTTCCTCCAGATCCGCCTGTAGGAGGACATGCCCGACCGAACCCCAGACATCCGACGCCTTGATTTGTTGAATGCGGGGTCCCCCGAAGGTCTCGACCCATTCCCTGGGGCCAGCCAGCTTCTCATCCGGAGCAGGTTGCTGACTGTCAAAAGGCCCGGCGGGGGCCCAGAGAGGCCGAGAGTGGCAACAAAAGCGATGCACCACGATTTTTTCACGACGCCAGGGAGTCCGGGATCTGTGAGCTCTGCCGATCCAGGGGCGCTGCCGCGCGATGCCGCCACCGCGCTCGGGCGGGCGCGGGGTTCGGGAGGGCCTGGAGGTGGGGGGGGGCTCGGGCGGCAGGCTCCACGGAGCCCCCCTTTCCGCCAGCTCTGCAGTGAGGACCCTTGTTATGCCTGGCAGGCCCAAGACGCAGGGACCAGGTCCTCCCCCTCCTCCTCCTCCTCCTCCTCCTCCTCCTCCTCCTCCTCCTCTTCCTCCTCCTCCTCCTCCTCCTCCTCGTCCTCCTCCTCCTCCTCCTCCTCCTCCTCCTCCTCCTCCTCCTCCCTCCTCCTCCTCCTCCTCCTCCTCCTCCTCCTCCTCCTCCTCTCCTCCTCCTCCTCCTCCTCCTCCTCCGCCTCCTCCTCTCCTCCTCCTCCTCCTCCTCCTCCTCCTCCTCCTCCTCCTCCTCCTCCTCCTCTCCTCCTCCTCCTCCTCCTCCTCTCCTCCTCCTCCTCTCCTCCTCCTCCTCCTCCTCCTCCTCCTCCGTCCTCCTCCTCCTCCTCCGCTCTCCTCCTCCTCCTCCTCCTCTCCTCCTCCCCCTCCCCCTCCCCCTCCCCCTCCTCCCCCTCCCCCTCCTCCTCGCATCTCGTTCTCGATGCGTCGGGGGGGCCTGCTTTTATTGCTTCGCAAGAAGAGTCAACCCGCATAGTAAGAATGAGCATTTTTCGAGGGTTACCCTTGCATCCTTCCCCTTCGGCCCATCTACCGACGTTGACTCCACCCAGCGACGTGGCACCACCAACACACGACGGCATCGACAGCAAGGAATCCACCTCCTCCTCCTCCTCCTCCTCCTCCTCCTCCTCCTCCTCCTCCTCCTCCTCCTCCTCCTCCTCCTCCGCCACATTCAACTTTTTATATGTCTCGCGTGCATGCTTTATCACACACTACAGTGTGTGATGAGGTTACGGCCTCACTCAACTGGTATCACGAGGCCTGGACAGCTGTCCGTACCAGTGGTCGTTCGTTCGTTCGCTCGTTCGTTTGGCCGCTCTCGCTGGCCACGCCCCCCCTCGCAGAGCAGAGTGTCGACATGGCCCCTCGCAGAGCAGAGTGTCCTTATCGCGCTTCCTAATGATACGGGTTGGCTGTAGCTCGACCGATCGATCGATCGACGGCGCGGCGCCCCGCGACGCGAGGCGGTGGCCGACGCGCGCGGCAGGTTGCGGGAGGAGCCCGCGCCGAGCGAGGCCGGCCGGGTGCTCTTGCAGATCCGCTTGCCCGAGGGCCGGCGGCTGAAGGCCGCCCGGGCTTCGCCGTTGGCTCCTCCTCCCTTCCTCCCTGCTCCTCCTCCTCCTCCTCCTCCTCCTCCCCCTCCTCCTCCTTCTCCTCCTCCTCCTCCTCCTCCCCCTCCTCCTCCTCCTCCTCCTCCTCCTCCTCTTCCTCCTCCTCCTCCTCCTCCTGCCCCTCCTCCTCCTCCTCCTCTCCTCCTCCTCCTCCTCCTCCTCCTCCTCCTCCTCCTCCTCCTCCTCCTCCTCCTCCTCCTCCCCCTCTCTCCCCCTCCCTCCTCCTTCGCATCTCTCCATTCCTTTCCTTCTGAATAACTCCTTCCTGTCACACCCCGAGGCCAGTCGGAAGGGCGGGCCGGCCGTTTCGCTCGAGCTTCCTTTACAAGCTATGAGCCTCATTCAAATTGACAACAGTTTCACAGATGGAGGGCGGGTCGCTTCCAAAATGTAGCTCTCGCCTCAGCGCCGCGCGCATTCGTTGAAGTATTTGCAAAAGTTTTACGGATTAAAAGCGGTTATGTTTCAACATGTGGTTCTCGCCCGAGCTCCGCGCGCATTCGTTTTAAAAAATTGCACAAGGTTTATTGGTTCTCATGGCTAACGTACCAGGAATGGCGTTGCGGAACGATTCAGGACTGTCAGTTCGCAACAGTTACGTTGATTCGCGGTGTCGAAGCCCCGGGAATGATGTTCTGGCACCATTCAGGATCGCCAAGACGCAACAGTCAGGTTGATTCGTGGCGCTGAAGTCATGAGAATGGTCTTTTGGCACGCTTCAGGATCTTCAAACAGCTGTCTCCCAACGGGGCATTTCCTTCAGTGGAAATGAACCCTTGCAAGGGCCTATGAAGAGGGAGCTTGGAGGGAGAGTAGATTCCAACATCGTTGATGAGTCGTGGGTTTGCACTGATCTTCTCTCCTCCGCACCCTCCCCATCCTGCTTCTGAAGGTCGCAGGGGCTCGTCGTGGGAGGGACGTACGGTCGGGAACTGTTGCTCAGCGTGTCGCGGCGAAGGTTCCGGCGACACGCTAGAGTCAGTTCGCATGGTAAGGTAGAGTGGCATTCCCAAGGGTATCTTTGGATCCTTGCCTATTCGGCCGATCCTCAGGCAACCCTTAGCTCAAAGAACTTCAACTTAGGCGTCCAAGGGGCACGCACCCTTACCGCGCATCCATCAAGACCCGACTCGGGCTGAAGAGCTGGTCCTGCGGGGACGGGTGCCAGGGTCCAGGACCCGCTCCTCCCTCAGGACCTGGCTCCTTCGTGCCAAAGCGGGGGTCCGGGCCCAAGCGTGGTCGGGACTTCGGGAGTTCTTGGTGGGTGTCGTCTTCGACCGCTCTCGATCTCTACCCCTGCGGATCCAGTCGGCGCCGGGGTATCGGACACCCCCGCTTGGGTTCACTCGGCTGCAGGCATCCTTCAGATTCTGAGCCGCAGGTGCAGGGTTCTCATGAGCGACGCGAAAAGACGGGGTCATTTGCGCCGACATTGGCGCGTAAGCTGCCCGCGTAAGGTCACGCGTAAGCACGCTCGTCTCCAATGCTGCGTGCCGCGCGGGCGGCCCGCGTAAGCCACCGCGTAAGGCCGCTACGCCATCTCTTGTAAGGCCCGTTGTTGATCGTCGCTCACATGTGGTTGCCCACGTCGGGGCCCACCCAGGGCGCTTGGCATTGTCATGTGCGCCTCGTCGGCGGCGTCCCGGGGATACCCCAGAGTCGCACAAGGCGAGCCGCCCCGCACCCGAGCTACGGCCCGAGAGCCAGCTGGAGGTGATCCCGGGACACGTGGCGGGGGTCAGCGCCCACGGGGGTCGGCCAGTCCTCCTTTGTGATTCTAGGCCTCCCAGATGGGGCCCGAGTAGATGGGTCTGGAGGATCGCGCCGCATCGCCGATGCATCTGCGATGCATCAGCGATGCGGCTCGATGTGGGGCCCGATTTTCTCCTCGCCGACGTCGTCGATGCATCGCCGATGCATCGCCGATGCATCGTCGATGCATCGCCGATGTATGGGCGATGCGGCGGGATCCTCCGACCCCATCTACTCGGACTCCATCTAGGAGGCCTCTGGGGATCCCCTCTGGCCGACCTGTGCTTGGGAGCCGCCTGGGCCCGACCCCCGCCTCGCTCCACCCCTGAGTTTCTGGCCCTGCGGTGTCCAGCGTCTCCGCACTGGGCGTCTTCGCCCCTCTTTGGGCCGTGGCACCCGCACAGCAGGGCTGAACCCAGACGGTGGTTGTCGTTTTCGTTTTGCTCTCGTGTTCCCCAGTGTTGTCTTCAATCCGCCTTGAACGCAAAACGAAATCGAAACGAAAACGGCCCACGAAATCGCCCAGACACGGTTTGAGCCCACCCTTTGCCGCACAGGTCGATATCTCGCACGAGGAGAGCCGCACGGAGAGAGGCAGGGCGCACGGCTCCGGTCGTGGTGTCTCGTTCTCGTGTTCCCCAGTGTTGTCTTCAATCCGCCTTGAACGCAAAACGAAATCGAAACGAAAACGGCCCACGAAATCGCCCAGACACGGTTTGAGCCCACCCTTTGCCGCACAGGTCGATATCTCGCACGAGGAGAGCCGCACGGAGAGAGGCAGGGCGCACGGCTCCGGTCGTGGTGTCTCGTTCTCGTGTTCCCCAGTGTTGTCTTCAATCCGCCTTGAACGCAAAACGAAATCGAAACGAAAACGGCCCACGAAATCGCCCAGACACGGTTTGAGCCCACCCTTTGCCGCACAGGTCGATATCTCGCACGAGGAGAGCCGCACGGAGAGAGGCAGGGCGCACGGCTCCGGTCGTGGTGTCTCGTTCTCGTGTTCCCCAGTGTTGTCTTCAATCCGCCTTGAACGCAAAACGAAATCGAAACGAAAACGGCCCACGAAATCGCCCAGACACGGTTTGAGCCCACCCTTTGCCGCACAGGTCGATATCTCGCACGAGGAGAGCCGCACAGAGAGAGGCAGGGCGCGAAGAGAGCCGCGCGCAAAACGCAATCGAAATCGCCCAAAGCACCGTTCAGGCCCACCCTTTGCCGCACAGGTCGATATCTCGCACGAGGAGAGCCGCACAGAGAGAGGCAGGGCGCGAAGAGAGCCGCGCGCAAAACGCAATCGAAATCGCCCAAAGCACCGTTCAGGCCCACCCCCTGCCGCACAGGTCGATACCTCGCGCGAGGAGAGCCGCAGAGAGAGAGAGGCAGGGCGCACGAAGATGGCCCACGAAGTCGCCAAAAGACACCGCTTGGGCCCACCCTTTGCCGCACAGGTCGATACCTCGCACGAGGAGAGCCGCACGGAGAGAGAGGCAGGGCGCACGTAGATGGCCCACGAAGTCGCCAGAACACCGTTCAGGCCCACCCTTTGCCGCACAGGTCGGTACCTCGCACGAGGAGAGCCGCACAGAGAGAGGCAGGGCGCACGAAGCTCCGGCCGCGGTGCCTCTCGCGGTGGCTTCTTCTTCTTCTTCTCGCGCCGTCGGATATCTCCGAGGCCCTCCGCGGGCCCGCGCTGTCTCGGAGCTGCTCCGCGGGTCCGGGCCGGGGCCTCGACGTACCAGGCCTCCCAGTTTACAGTCGGGGCGCTGGAGAAGGAACCCTTTTCGTTGGGGAGGGGCTCGGTGTTCCTTAATTGTTTTACTGTACATTTTGCCTTGGGTTTTCCTGAGGCTTTCCATGGGAAATCGAAATTTAACATATGGGGAAAAGGGGCCAGGCCTCAAACGACGCGAAGATCGGGACAAAATCGGATCGGGATAACTCGAAATCTCTGAGAATCGGCGGGCTTGGAGGATGTATGGGGCGCCGCGGCCGCTCCAGGGCGTTCCGGAACGCTCCGAGAGCGCTCCAGAACGCTCTGGAGCGATTTGTCCCGCTCCTAGCCCTGTTTCAAGGCCTCCCAATGTAGGGCCCGAGCAGTGGCGGTCGGAGGGCTGGAGATCGACGTCAGCCTCGATTTGCCCCTGAGTCGATGTGGTCGTCGCACCCGCGAAGAGGACCGCAGAATGTGCGTAGACCTACGAACCGTATACGCATGTGTTGTAAGTCCGACAAGACAAGACGTTCCGGGGCAATCAAGATTATGTAGTGAATCCCCTGCTCGAAGGGTCGCGCCGCATCACTGCTGCATCGGCGATACGGCGCGATACAGCCCGCCGTCGCTGATGCATCTCGGCCACGCGCACAGGGGGGCAGGGGGAGGAGAGAAGGCTTCTTAGAAGCACCTGTATCTAGATGCAAGGCGGGCGGCTTCTTAGCAGGAGGCTGCTTCTTCGAAGCCGCCCGCCCTGCATCTAGATACAGGTGCTTCTAAGAAGCCTTCTCCCCTCTCCCTGCCCCCCGGTGCGCGCCGCCAAGCGTCGGCGATGCGGCGCGATCCGCCGACCCTGCAAAGGCCTGGAAAGGGGCCAAACTGGCCTGACCAGGTTGGCGTGGCGTTGGCGCGGGGCTCGCGTGGGGTTGGCGCGGGCAGGTGCCGTGTGCGGTCCTCGTTTACAGTTTTGGTGTTGTGTTTGTTTGTGTTGTTCTTTTCGCATTCTATCCCCCACGCTCGCGCTGCTTGTGTAGGTCGGCCCGACTGTGCCCTGGCCTGGCCGGCGAGGCCTCCGGGCCCCCGCCGCCCGT